GATAACAGGCACACAATTCTTCGAACTGATCTTTTTTTTTACGATGTCGGTGATATGAGCCCGCATACTGTCCATCACCAGCATTCCTGGCTTCACGTGAAAGAATCCGTCGGGTCGACGTGAAAAACAGCGGTCAAGCCACACGCCCATTGTTTCTTCGTCCATCCAACCCTTCGCGTTCGCCTGAACCACCACCGTGGGAGGGAAAATGTCCTTCGGCAAGGTTTTCCGTTTAAATATGAGCATGGGAGGCAACTTGGTGCCGTCTGCGCAGCAGGCGAGCACAACGGTGAAGTGAGACTTTTCGTGGCCAGTTGTCCTCACCGTCACAGTTTTCTGGCCTTTCTCGGCAACACTTCTCCCGAGCGGGATGTCGAAGGTCAACGGCACTTCATCCATGTTGACGATGTGGCTCGCGCTGACGTTCTTCTTTGCAATTTCCTCCCTCACAAATGAGCTGAAGCGTTCCAGCTGCGCTTGAAAGTCGTCGGGTAGCTTCTGGCTCACTGTAGTCCGGGCTCGCATGACGAGCTGATTCCGCCGCATAAAGCGGAAACACCACGATGGACCACCACTGAATCCCTCAGTGTTGGTCTCCGCTGCCAAAGCCTTCGCCTTCAGGCGCAGCTGCACTGTAGACAGGCCTCTCCCTTCGGCTCGCTGTTGTAGCACCCACGTTCGCAGGCTACGCTCAAGGTCCGGCCAGCGTGCCTTCTTGCCGCGGTTGGCCTTCTTAGTAGACTTCATTGTCCGGAGGACGCTGTGAGCCTTGCGCCAGTCCCGGATTACTTTTTCGGCGACATCGAATTCTCTTCCTGCAGCACGATTTCCGTGTTGTTCTGCAAATTCAACTGCACGCAGCTTGAACTTCGCATCAAAACTTCGCCGACTTTGCTTTCCATGTGGCGCCATGGTTAACGAGGACGCTGCAACAACGCCGCTACGCCTATGCTACCATGCCACAGAACACATGACCATGCACAATGGCAGCAAGTGCGACTGCTGCGGCGGGCGAGCGGGCGGAAGTGATGGCAACCGAAGCGGCTCCAGCGGCTCTTGTCCGAAATGCGAACTTGCCTTCCATTATTTATAATTTCGTTAAGTACCTCTACTTTTTTTCGCCCCTCAATGATTATTTATTTTCTGTGCAAAACTATATAAGCACTATTATTTCTAGGGAGGTAATTTACCACTCTTTTTATTTTTTTCTGAAATGTGGTTTCCGTGCATGACAAAAGGGAGCGCACGGCGAACTGCCCGACGGAGAAAGCGTGGCCGCAATGTCCAGGCCGCCTTAAGGCTATTTCACATGCCGCAATTGCAGCGAAAAAAAAAAAATCGTTCCGTTCGCTTCAATCACTCTATTCGCAGCCGCCGCTAATGGCGGTTTCGTTTGACATAGACCGCGAACGGTCCACGATATTCGCTCTGCGACTGGAGCGGCGAGAAACGTTTCTTGCCACCGTTTGTTGTGGCAGACACTGGAATGTTTCAAATATAAAAATCTGTACGTTACGATATTATTAAGCTTCTATGAACGGTAACGAAGAGCACTTTCCAATCTTTGCTAAAACAAACACGTCGACGCTATTTCGACGGCTTGACGGGCCTGGCCCTATTTCGACGGGTCCCGAACAAAAATCGCTCCCGCCGCTGCGATCAGAGCGAAAACTTCCAACATGTTGGAAGCTCGCCACGGACCGCTGCGGTGGGAGCGAACTGGCGCCTTTTTTTCGCTGCGAGCGAATTCACGGACTGAAAATCGCTACTTTTGTGTCATGTGAAACGGCCCTAATTCACGGCATCTGATCCGATTTAGACTGTATATAAGTCGCACCGTTGTATAAGTCGCACCGACGAAAAATTCAGAAAAAAACCGCGACTTATACACCGAAAAATACGGTACACTGTTTCACGGCACACCAGTGTATTGCGCCGAAGGTGGCTTAAGCACCATTCTGCGCGAGTTCGAGCAGAGCCAAGCAATGTTCGAACGAACCGCTACACCCCCCCCCCCCCCCTCTCCTCACTCCCACTTTTTCTTTGCCCAATAGAGGTTAAGTTTAGGGCACAACTTCTCCGCTCCCTTGCAAGGCTCATTCAACCAGATAAAGTAACAACAAGTGTGCACCCGTTGGTCCGGAGCCGGATGTGTATCGCCAGGACGAGGCAACTTCAAGCCAGAAAAATGTTTTTTGTGCCCTTGCTATGGCAACCAACGTGGTAGCTGGCAACGACTGCATACACCGCACGTCGACCTTATTTGCGCGTGGAAATGCGACATACATTTCCAACATGCAAGAACGCGTGTGCTGACTAGGAAATTCATATTTCTCGCAAAGCATTGGTGGCTACGGCAATGCCTTTTATTGCTTGAAGTTCGGTCGTCCCGCCGATAGGTATCCACTGTGGTTATTAGTCCGATAGGCACACGGCATTGTTACTTCACTTTTGTTTATCTGGTCGTCTCGCGTATGTCCTCGCCTAACGAATATATAACTTACACCGTGGTTCGTGGTTAGGGTCAGTGCACTTCGTTTGATTTCTCATTCAAATTAGCACACCTGAGAAACTTTTTGAGGTGGGCCGGGCATCTTGGCGCAGCATGGCGTAATTTGATCAATTTCATGGTTTTGGCGCAGCTCGATACAACTACGGGGCATTGTATCAAATTGGCGCAATTGGCGCAGCTGTTGCACCCCTGCTAATGCCACGCCCTGCGACATCTACTACAAATGACCACTAGTGATTGCTCAATAATACCACCTTTGAATTACAAGTCAGACCAAAGTTGAAGGAAAGCATTGGACAACACCAAAATAAAGGCAAAGTAGGTGCGCCTGTGCACCACGTGCCTACCTTCGTTTCGTGCATTCACGAAGGTAATTTCTCATAGGCTGAGAAAGACACTTTTTCATCAACCAAGGGAGCCTGCTGGCATGCTGAAAGAGCCCTCTACGACTCACAGCCATGTGATAATCCTGTCGAGAAATCAGCAGAACACCAAGAATACCTTTTATAGACTACAAAAATGCATTCAACTAAGTTGGATTACCAGTGGTATAGACCTCTACCAGGGTATGTCACAGCATGACGTCACCAGCGCATGTGCGAGGCGGTTGTTGGCAAAACACTCCCGCCAGTGACCGAGTGGGGTGCAGTCGCTCGGTGCTTGGGGCAAGTTCTTTTTTATTTTTGAAAGCCTAATCTTCGTCTCACAGTGGCAATATTAGCTGTGGTATGTGTCAGAGAACATCTAGATGTGTGGTAAAGTGCGTGATGAAATATTTGCTACGCTGACTGGCTGTTTATCTTGGAGAAGTGAATACACCTGGCGGCCTGTGCGAGGAATAGCGGCATCGTCTTCGAAAATGTGCAGTGTTGACTGTGGCATGCAGTGCGCATTGAAAGGTATCAATAATATTGATTCACCTTTATGGACAGTAAAACTGGGAATATTGTGTGTGGTGTGTGCAGTGTGAATAACGAGATGCGTCTTGTTTGCAAAAACATTGGTATTCTTTGTGGACCGGTTGCTGTAACCGGTTGTCAATGGAAATTTACGACCCGACATTTTATTCAAGGTAAAAATGGATTTGACACGATGATCTGCAGGTGGGTACATTTCAGCGTATGTGCGGCGTGCAGAAAATAAGAGTGCATAATCTCCAGGTGATATATATATATATACGACAGCGCATGAGCTATAAGCATGTTCTAGCATTGTCGAATATGCATACACACTTCACCAGGGCTGTAACTCGTATTATCAGATACCTGATACGTGTTAATAGACACAGCGGAGATTTTCGTTTCTTATCTGCTTTGTACTTTTACGGCTCGATCCTTGTGAAGTGACAATGTGCATTAGAAGTTTGTGTATCAGGCCTAAAGGAGCAATATAGGCATGAAAACACGTTATAGGTTTCAAATGCAGCAAGGTAGTTGTGCCAAATATTATTATATATTATTAAGTTGCTGGGTTTTCCATCACATGAATTTTCACTGGGTTATTGAGAAATGCAGCGGCAGAATTTCAGTTTAATTTTGACGAGGATATGTTCTCCTGAGCCTAACGCACGGCAATAAGTGTTTTTTTTTTTCTTTCATTCATCTCCGATCAGACTTTTGCACAATGAGTGAGAATCTTATCCTTGACGTCCTGCACGGCAGCTCAAAACCATGCTGCCACCAATGCTGCACCTCATCCAAAACTGCAAAGCACATGCCACGATGGAAATTGAATAAGTTTACATCCATGCCTTGCAAATATTTCTCAAAGTTCCAGTAACCGTGTACATTCAAAACGTTCGCTTTCGAAAAAGATCAGATTTTTTTTGGCTGCTATCTACGTGGGTGAAGCCCACTGCGTGCTAGTCACGTCTCTCAGTACTCTAAATTAAAAGTTTCTCCATGCATCCATCTACGACGAGCGAATTTCCACACTATGATCAGTGCCCTTCCGCGACACCCTTCTTTCAAAAGCTGTGACTTCAGGGCATAGCAATGAAGAAATTTCTGTCAAAGGAATGCAGACACGCAGCTTTGCTATGTAGAAATATGGCGCCGGTGCAACTTTCTTGCCAACCAGCACCTGCTCCGAGAGAGGGTATGGTGGGCGGGGTGCCCGCAGTGACGTCACACTGTTTACAAACAGGGAGAGGTCTATTGGCAGCACTGTGTTGCGAAGGCTGCAAGGCAACGTCTTTTTCTAAAGAGGATGCTTGGGAAATTTTCATTTCATAGGCAAAAATGATTAAACCGAGCAAAAAGAAAGAGCACACAGAAATAATGTATGCCTACGTCGCTTTCAGCCCTGTATGTGTGTTCCTTTTATTTGCTTTGTTTAGTCTTTCTTCAGCTTCTTTCGTAATAAAGTTTAAGAGGACCAAAATAAGGACCTGCAACTATAACTGTCCGACCGATACACGACGAAAACACAGCAGTTGCTCTACAACATGCATTAGAAAGATGCAGTAGTAGCACGTGTCACCACTCACCAACAGTTCCACCTTTTGTTCCACAGTCATGTCTTCCTCCCACAGTCCCAGAGCTGTGTCAGCGAAGAGAGCAGGTAAAATCTCACTGACAACAGGAACAGCTGACAAATAGTTCCATGCAGAAAAGAGTTAAATCCTATTCACTCTGGATGATTAATTGATTGATATGTGGGGCTAAACGTCCCAAAACCACCATATGATTATTAGATACACCGTAGTGGAGGGCTGCGGAAATTTAGACTACCTGAAGTTTTTTGACCTGCACCCTAATCTGAGCACACACACGGGCCTAAAGCATTTTCCCTTCCATCGAAAGTGCAGCCACCGCTGCCAGGATTCAATCCCGTGACCTGTGGGTCAACAGCCAAGTACCTCAGCCACTAGATCACGGTGTCGGGGCAACCTATTTGTTTTGGTCAACTGCAAATTACTACATGTTTCATAGTTGCTTGTTTTATAGCACTACCACTTTGTTGTTCTTCCCCTATTCTGTATCCAGCACTGTTTGTTTCCATCTTAATCCCATACCAGCCAGTCCAGCTACGTATCCTCCTGCTTTTTTGCAGACAAAACTTCCAATAATGACTACAGCAGCATTATTAAAAGCCTATGCCGCACACTTGCACAAGTGGCTAATATGTACACTGAATACATATTTTGCAACAAAGTAGGAAACACACAAGATCTCCCACAGGAGAGCTAATAAGCATCAGCAAGTGAGGCTCTCATTGATATTTTGGGTGTAATATTTGTAATCAGCGCATAATTATGCATAGGTGTTGCCGCAGACCACCATGTACTTAGAAAAAAAAAGCATTAGAAAGGTAACTGCAAATACATATACAATATATTTTTCAATAAACTACACGTGGGCAAGGTTGATCAAATGTCAGTATAAGACTGCAACTTTTATTACTGGCATCTAAATGACTGCATCACAAGTCCAGGAACTTCATTCTCTACGAGACACTTTCAAAGAGCAGTTGAGGCCACATAACAGTAAAATAAGACAGAACAGCCGACTCCTCTCGTCTGGACGGTACCCTGGTTCTCGTTACACAACATGTTTGCGACATGCGAATAGAGAAAAGCAGAAGACGAGAGGTTGCCCGTCCTCGAATGAAGCCGCAGGTAGACATTCTCTCTGTAGTTACAACAACAGTATGCGGTCATACTTGTGATTTCGTCACATCCTTGTGTCTGCTTGCCCATGCGCTTTGTCATTTTTTCTCCGTTAGTCGCTCCCTGCTGCCCGACTTCCTCCAGTCAGAGCACGCACTCATGAGCCTAGGGGTTGAATAACTTTCAGTGCAACTCGACAGATGGCACCACGCATCGTGATAAGCATAAGGAGAAGGGAAGGCATGCACGAGAGAGTGAAGAGAAGTAGTTGGGCACAGTAAGGGAATGAACTGGACCACCGTGTTCATGTTTGCATGGTTTGTCCCGAGTGAATACATAAGACGGCAGGAGAGTCCATGCTCCTCTCTTATATTACTCCATGATTGAGGCAGTAAAAGCAATATGAGCAGGAGAAATTCATCCGCACAGGTACACACCGTCTATTGAGAAATTGTCAAGCGCAGCGACAAGATTACGAGCAAAAATGTGACAAGCAACACCCAGTACAACATGCCGATATTACGTTCACCGTGATCATCGTTTCAATTAAAAGCACATCATTCACTCCAAAATCTGGTCAGCAATCGATGACACACTCAACTTAGTCAACAACATTATTGTCGTGCCAAATGAAAGCCACTGATCACTATTCAAGGGATATTATGGGACAATAAGTAAGAGATAAGAGATAACATTTATTATGGTATAAAGGTTAATATTTACAGGATAACATGGCCAAATAGGATAAGATCTTTGTTTGCACCAGCAAGCATGGCACTATATACAATGCTGTTTAAATAAGAGCACATTCTACCTTGTTGCTATTACTCACTGTAGTTGGTTTGCTTTACATATGTATGTAAGTGTACATATTTATGCATAGATACGTGTCTAGATACCTGGGCTGGGCCGAGATATTTATAAAAAGCATTCCGGAATACAGATAATGAAATGCATTCGTTGGAAGCCTGAAATACAGATACTGAGAAACATTTGTCATTGATGTAATGGGATATATTGAAAATACTTTTGCAAAAAACCAAAAGAAAGTATTCAAGAATACAGGTAGCGTGATACAGATTTGGAATACCTTGTTTTTTTGTTGTTGTTTTTTTTTTTCGGTATACTCATAGCCCACAAAGACGTTAAGTGGAGCATATTATTGTAATTAAAATTGCAGGGCGCTGAAACCTCGAATTTATTTATTTACCAAACTTTCAGTGCTCTGCAAACTTTACACAGCTGGGAATTGGGAGGGGGGGTTACAATGTACATAATTGCTTAATATGACATAATACGATGTATCAAGCAATAAGAAGTACACTATCTATTGCAGGAAAACAAAAACAACAAGGATTGGATGCTCAAATCATTATACTTGGAGACAACAAAATGCACTATGCTAGTTGCACTATGCACTATGTTGCATAATTACAGCAAATCACAAATTACTAACGTGAACGATTCAGCTTCAACACAAGACTCATGTAAGAAAGTCGCTCTACCGCTGCAGATTCGATTAACACAAATTCGTGGTATTGAGCGTAAATACCACCTTCAAAGTCGGATAGTCCTGTAGCTACAGCGCGATATCTCTTTTCGGGTCACCCAGGTACTGAAACACTTTCACCCTCACGTGGATTCATTCTGACTGTTCAGAAGCCGAAGTCAGGCACCATCTTCTCAATTCTCAACAGTTCGGGCTGGTTGGCACCATGCCAGACTGCTAACGATTGCCCATACTGACCATAATTACCTACACGCAATGGAGCCGAATAAGTAAAAAATGCAAAATTGATGCATTGGCATCCTTAGATGATGTTCCTTGGGGGTGAGAGGGTTTAAGCCCTCACAGGTCGCTCCTGCTGGCTCTCTCAACACAGACGTAGGTCAGAGCGCTTCTCGAGAGAGCTGTTAAGAGTACCTGATCAAACACTACAGCAAGAGCTCGTCGCCTGATCCAAAAGGGTCACTCCTCAATAGAGCTGCCACCCATTCCAGCAAGCCACAATAAGCGTAGTTGGCTGCGGCGGTGGGGGAGCTTAGTACCACAAAAGACAGTCTCACGCTTCTAAAAGAATTGACATTTGGTCAAGTTGGAATTGGTGATGCATCTTTAAAATGGGCAGTGCAAAAAAACAAGGACACAAGAAGAAGAACGACACACGCTGGGTGGTGCGTCTTACTACTTGTTGTGTCCCCGTTTTTTACACTGCTCATTTCAAAGATGCACCACGCTTGTAAATAAACTGGGTACCCACCCTGACAGGCTAGAGGGTGGCTGATAGCGCAACAAAGACAGCCAATGTATAGTCACTTCCACCACCATAATTGGAAGAAACTGCTCTTGGAAGGGCCGGCACTTTAAGAGCTCAATGTGCTTAAAGTGTTTATGTAGAATGCCTTTGTTCCATGGAAAAATGCGCACAGGGATCACGGAGCAAGAGATCACTAGCTGAAAAAAGTTAGCAGAGCTGAACTGGCCTTAAGAGACAGTGGCATTATTCGGCAGTGGCCGGCAAAACAATACTTACGCCATTCTGTCGTCAGCAATGAAGTGCTTGTGATTTAGGGGAAACCATCACTTTCTAATAATACAAAAACGCGGGATAGTTGGTTAGGTTGTGTAATAAAACTATTGTGCACGGAACACGAAGACAAAAACTGCACAGGTGCTTGGGAACTTTTCGTTTGTGTTATAGTGTTGTGTGTGCAAAATTTTCATTATGAAACCATTAGCACCTGTTTTATGTCATCGAGCGATGGGGTGCCTTTTTTCCTTGGCACAAAAAAAAAGAAACCTTCAATTCTCCTCCCCCCTTAAAAATATGCCTCAGCTCACTTCCGACAAAAAAAAAGTAATCAGATACAACAGTCTAGCATAGTATCATGATACAATCGATACATCCTAAAAGCATTTCACTACCGAGATACCATTACTTTCATAGAATCTATGTCGAATAGAAATCCAGATACTCAAAAGTAACTCTGAAATACCATCGTGATACTCTTGCATTGCGATACTGCTCAGTTTTGAGAGGTACATACATGCGTATATGTATCTACGCATGTATGAATTTTTCTTCTCACCCATTCTTGTAATGCCTTTGGCCTTGAGAGGTAAAATAAATAGATAAGCATAAAGTGTTCCTTAACTCAACTCACTGCAAGCCACCTTGAGAACCTTTAAATCTGCAATATATGGCGCAGTCATACAGTGCATTCTGTGGCTTATTTGTGACTAAAAAATGTTAGGAACCATGTGAATAGGTGGCACAACATCAGAGCATGATGTCCAATTTTTTTTAAACATAGTTCCTAGGTATTGCTGTAGATGTCAACTAAAAAGCCGTTTTCAATGTTTCCATGGCTTATTTGCAACAGCCCAGATTATAACTTTCTTTCGTCATGTTACTTTCAGTTCGTAATGTTTATTAGGAAATTAAAAGTACTAGTGTTACGCAAAAGAAGGCCACAGGCAAAAAGGACAGTCCATGCTCTCATAAGCTGCAATGCACATTCAATGTGGGATCATGCCACAGAGAGACAGGGGCACAACAGCCGAAATAGAATTTGGAGAAATTTTTGGAGTGGCAAAATGCTTCTCTTGGAGCCCTAAAATCCAAATTTGGAGCAGGTTACAGTAAAAAAATTTTTAAAAAGAATCCATATTTCATCACGAAAGATCAAGTTTGAAGGAGTAGTAAAAAAGCTTACATTTAGAAAAATATCCAATTTGTAGCAGTATTAAAACAGCCTACATTTAGAAAAACAAAAAAATATATGTACAGTACGGTCCACTGTTAAGGGGAACACGCGAGTGCATGACCGGTGGTCCGCGTGGCGCCAACTGCTGGGGAGATTCGGAAATGCAGAGCATGCGCGCTGAATTGCAAAGGTGGTACTTGCTCGCATGGTCTGTTACTCCCCCCCCTACGCTCGGCGTGCGCCAGCGACAAGCTTACTGTGCTCGCTTCATCGACCATCGATTTTCTTGTCTGTTATCAAAAGCGGCTGGCTGGTTCGAACAGCGTTTCGAAAGCTTACAATTATATTTTTGGTGAGCACAAACACCAGGCTACGCGAGCGATGGGCTTCGTTATCACTTTCACAGAATTCCACAGCTGGGGGCGTATTTACTCGCTGATCGCATTTTCGGCAGAGCTAGTTCTTGGAAGCGGCATGGCTAGAGTACCTGAGGATGAAAGGCTTCGAATAGTCAAGCAGTACAACAAAGAATAGAGCCAGCGTGCTGTCACTGCCATCGCAAAAAGGCCACTTTCTCATTACCAGCATAATCATCAGCATTACGAGTGTAATTTCTTGCAGTGCCCAGTTCTGTCATGCGTAGTCCTTATTTGCTTACACAGATCTGCATTTTATTTTGTGTTTCGCAGGGCACAGATGTGTTTCATTACCTTTGCACTATTCAAATATTTCGAGGCTACAGATCTGCCCTCACTCGACCCGTCTGTCACAAAGGTTTTAGAAATAAATTTTTCTTTGTTTACTCCGTAGTTTTCTACGTACACCATTTTTCAGCGCGCGTATTGGTGAAATGTAATGATTTTCGAAAAAGTGAACGCTATCGCATATTTTAAATAAGGAGCTTGTAGCATTTTTGTTTCAACAAAGAAAACTAAATGTAACGAGAGTTATAACTAACATTTTTGCTGGGTAATGCAATCCACAATATTTATATAACTTTGTGTCCCATCGTAGTGGGATACATTAAAGTGTTTTCAAACAAGTGTTTCCTTAACCTTTTTTCTAAATACTATGGGCACATGGCTTTTTTTTTTCGCATTTCTCCTGTATTCTGAAATCGGATGCTGTGGCCATGAATACAATCGCAACAAAGCTGCCGAGAAAGCACAACAAACGAACAGCACTTTTTTTCTGTGCGCTGATTCTCCAGGGAGGAGCAGAGAGAGTGGCGGGGACATGAATCATATCGCAGAAAAGCGAACGCGGTATCCAGCGCACTGCAAGCGCCGAAGTGGAAAAAAGCACACGAAACGCGGCAAGCCCCACCCTTTCATGTCTATGCGCATGCGCTGTGTTTACAAATATCGCCGTCAGTTTGCGCCCAGCGGGCTGCCAGCCACGCATTGCCGTGTTTCCTCCAAGAGTGAACCATACTGTACAAACCTTTCAACATCGCCTTAATTGTTCAGAGTGAACATGAGCACTGCTATTTCCTTAAAAGAAGTATTTTGAAACACCACACAGTGTAGGCTATGATGAAGTAGAATTTGCCACACTTGTCAAATCTTTAGACAGACTGCAATTTTAAATGTGGTTCTGCCAAGCTAGGGACGTTTGAAATTCAGGAAATTTTTAAAACTGAGAAGTAGAAGTGGCGGAAAAAAAAAGTTTTTTTTTTAGGGCTGCAGAAATGCCATACACTGTTCCAAAAATGATTTCCAGTAAGCCAGTAACCTTTTTTCGTTAGTCACTAGTGCTAACAACGCCTTTCAAATCTGAATATGCTTTTCTGCAGGGTGCCGGTGTATTGCGGCAAATATGGTTAAAGCAGCGTTCTGCGCGGTTTAAAACAGGGCCAAGGACTTTTGAACTGCTACACGGCCTCCTTCTCCCCTCCCGCTTTTTATAATTCACCCCGGCGGTTTAAAAGGTCCCTCAATATTATTGAGGTTAGGTTTAGGGCACCATTTCTCAACTCGCTAGCAAGGCGCGTCCAACCAGGTAAAGTAATGACGGCGCACGCGGGTGGCCAACGCGGCGTTCATTTCTCGCTCAAGTTGGCGCAACTAAGAAAATTTTAAGGCTGGTTGGGCATTTTGACTCGGCGTGACACTATTTCAGCAATTTTAATGATTTGGGCGCACCTGGGTGCAAACATGGGGAATTGTATAAAATTGGCACAGCTGTTGCACCCCTGCACATGCACTGAAACACACGCAACAAAGCCGACACACGAGTTCACTCCTTTTTCGTCCTGCTTTACTCCGTTTTATCTTCTGGTTCCTTGAGAGCTTGGAATAATGCAATCACGCAATGGTACCTCAATGACGAATGACAATGCATTTTTTTTGCGTTGTTCCTGATCTATTACTGAAGCATTATCTACTGAGGCATTCTGTGTTCTGCTTTCAATTGTCATTTTAATATGTCCATGCTCATGTATACTTTTTCTAATCACTTCCTGTATGGGCCTGTACAAAGGCCTATGGCATTGTTAAATAAATAAATAATAAATAAATAACAATACTAGTGCAGTCCAGAATCCACTGAAGTTGACACCAATGGCCATGCAAAAAGAAAGCTGTTTTTACTCTCTCACACGGGTAAGAGCAATGTGACCATGAGCCTCTCCAAGATGGTAGAATGAGCGCAGCAGAAGCAGCTGTGCGTTTGAGGTTTCACTCCGTGCAAAGAAAGAAGTGCACAGTTAGGCAGGTGTACCTTACCAGAGCAACGCAACAGATTGGTTGGTGCAAACAGAGTTGGCAAACTTTTTTTTTTATATATATATCGAGAACACTCACCCTGCAGCTCTTCGTCCATGGGAGAGTCTTGCGGCTCAGGTGAGCGGCACCGTGCCATTGTCGCCAGCTACAGTGGATAACATTAACACAAAAAGTTATTGACACTAAATTATTAATATTGTTTTTATTAACCAAACTCTTGTAGTGATTTACATTACTTTAAATTTTGTGCTACTTACTAAGCATTAGCCGAGCTGCAAAAGTTCTGATCTTTATCATGAGCACTGCCTTTGGAAAGCATATCGAATAGGTTAACTGATGCATATGAAATAACCAGTTCACCACCGTATACAGTGACACTAACACAGAACCTCGCACTGGCACTTGATTAGTCGCCAAAGGTTTTACTGTAGCAGGCCTTAGAGTATATATTACTACCACCTGCAAGTTCAGATTTAATTTTGCACAATATGCACAATCAGCCAGGTTAGGTGGTAAATTTTTAGTCATAACAGTCCATGCACTATCGAAAACTGATGGACGAAGTACCCCCGTCAGAAGATTGCTCTAAGCAGATTTTGAAAAATGCCAGCAGTGACAACTGTCGGTGTTTGACCTCCCAAAAACCACGATGTGATTACCATAGCCATCACAGTGGAGAGTTCCGCAAATTTCTACCGTTTGGGATTCTTTAAATTTGCCTACATCTAATAAGCACATACGCCTTTTGCCTTCATCAAAATGCAGCCACCGTGGCCAGGATTTGATCTCACTAGTGACCTTCGGGTCAAATATGCTAGTCCAAAAATTTCATTTTTTCTCTCCGACTTATTTACTGTCATGTTTTCACAAGCTTTATTTCACTAAAAGCAGGCCTGTAGTTAAGACACTATGTACGCCACTCTTTTTCATTATTTCCATCAAGTAGAGGCTAACAAAGAGCAAAATATATCATACATTAGATAAATTGAACCTCCTGCATAATAAAATTTTTCTTCCTTAAACTTCATTTTGCAGTCTACTGATACATATGATCACTTTTCTGAAGGCACAGCCATGTTCAACAAGTCGTTCGATGTGCGGCTTCTCGCAAGCAATGTAAAAAGCGGAAATTTTCCTTGCTCACAATTGACATAAGAAAAAATGAATTTGCACTATATTTCTAGCCCAAGATGAGATTCTGCTTATGCCAAAAGTAAGCATCAATGAGTTTGGGATAGATACTTATTCATAGCTTAATTAGAATGACTTACTATAACGCATATAGATTCAATAATTATCTCATTATTTTTGTTGCAATTGAATATTGAGTGCCTTGAATTAATGTTGTAGAGATATGACACCTCTACAGACAGTTTTTAATAGTTAGCATCTGAAAGGAAAACTGCTAATGGGTTAAAGTCTTGTTTAAAAAACACAAGGTGGCTGTTCAAAACTATACTGACAGGAATAACATCCCCTAACTGCCTGGCAATGCAGATTGCATGAGCCGCACAGTGAAGACCACAATGATTCTCAGTGTCTCATGAAGGAAAAAATCATTTTAAAAAAGCATATCTCTAGCACAAAGACAAGCTTTCTAATTTACCTTTGAAAGGCATTTTCCAAATTATTCAACTTTTGGCAATTTCTTTATTTTAGACACTTTACATTTGTACTATTTGGATTTTGATATTTTTCTGATTTCTTTTTTTAACATGAGTTGAGTGTCGGTATCCCCCTTCACTTCTTTGAATAACTTGTCACAGATTTCGAGCAAGTCATTAACAGGGCCTGAACATTTTAAGACTTCCCACGTTTTTTCTATAGTAAGTTTTTGGCATTCTACAGTGAATGTGCAGCAATGAGAGCCATTAAACTCCTTCCTGCTTCAAATGAGCACAGCTTGTCCTTGCAGAACTGTCACCAAACTGTTTGAGAAGTGTAGATCATCTGCTTGGGGGGAAAACTTCTTATTATCAGAATGACTAAAAGTGATTAAACGAGGCTCAAAATGCTGAAAACTCCAAGCAGCATTCTTTCCTATGAGTAATTAACAATAAGCCCCAGTGATCTAACTTAATGCTCTAGGTGCTTCCTTACAAAACTAAAAGTTGCTTCTTAGAAAAAAGATATTCAATTTCAACATCTAAAAAATAATAATTGTTTTAAGGAAACAACAATTCCCAATATTAAAATGCTTCAAGGGGTAATGCTAATAAATATGGAAGTTTAGTATAAAAAACTGCTGAAAAAAGACCTATATGCATTGTCATGATACTTAACAAAAACTATGGAACTCTCAGAGGAGGAATTACATAATTGAAAACAGCATCAAAGGATATAAACACACTAAAATTTTACTGCTCTAGGCTATTTACCTAAAAACATTTTTTTCTTTTAAGCAGCATCTTCCCTTAAGGCTTTGGAAACAGCACACTTTGACTATTTGATTCTACATATGGCATCAGTCCAGGCTATAGATAAGGAGCCATTGTGTGTACAAAGACACAAGAGATTGCCATGATGGTTGCATTTGTACTCTAGGCATTGTGATACACATATGCCAGTGGTATCTTAGCCTTTGTTCTCATATACCCAAGTGATTACTTCCATAAGTAAAGGCCAGCAGAAACGAACAGCTGTAGTTGATGTTCTTAAATCCATCTGTTTACAATAGTGCACTTTTAGCACATCTAAGCTTAAACATATATATGCATTATTAAGTGCACAGCGGTACTTAACTTCTGCGTACGTCTTTTTCAGAATGACAACAGCAATAGATTCAAGTAAATGTGCTAAAACACTGATTCCCTTGCAGACTTCACCTTTGCAGGGAGACATACTCAGAAATTATGCACACACTAGATTCAAACATGAAACAAACACTGTGAAAATTTTTTGTGCGTACTACTGCAGAAAAAAAAAAAAAACTGACCATATTTTTAAGTCTGGCAGCCCCATGTCACCAATTTCCCACAGGGCGAGTGCCCTTGCAAGCAACTATGTACCAAGTACAGTGTGGAAGTGACGTTTTGATTTTTGGAGCAGATTATGGAGCAGAAAAAATGTTAGCCTGGAACAGCTATTGGTGTTTTTGGAGCTGAAAGCAAAATATTGTGAATGACTCCTGGAGTTTAATGCATCAATTACACCTCCTATCTTAATACTCAATATGAAATATATTACACATACAATAATCACTACAAATTACAAGGATCATAATTAGGCAAACGGATGGTCGGTCTCTGAACACCAAGTAAAGGTTTTCATATTTTGCGAAAGTAGGCAGCATTGAAATTTTCAAACATCAAATGAGCTAAATGAAATAACAATTAAAATTCTTGTTCTTGTGACCTAAGCGAGGTCAAAGCTGATAAAGGTCCTAAATGAAACCAGACACATATCAAAGTTGTCACAGCAGCAGCTTGTATGAATAAGAAGTCTCGCATGCATTTAATCAAAATAGCCTGCTATTAAAGTACAAATATAGCACTATATCAAACATATATGAAAATGTGAGTATGTATAGCATTCTCAATATTCTAGTATACAGCTATTATACAAGCTGTATACTAGATTCATACTAGTTTTCATTAAGGCTTGCTGGATGGTCACATGGTTTAACTTAATCATTTTTAGTTTCCCCAATGCCATTTCGGAGCCAGTTGGAAGCAGTGACTAACATATATTGCACTTTGGAGCAATTGCAGCAAAACTTCCATCACTGTAAGTACGCACCAAGTGACTATATGACTATGTATAAAGGCCATACAATTTAGAAAGAGAGAGAGCTGAGCTACTTCACAGGTGGTTTATCATCAAAGACACGCAAACACGGACACAAAAGAGAAGTCAGGCCCGAATAATAACTGAAAAGGTGCAAAGCTGTGGAAAAGAAAGTCAACACAATGAGTTATTGGCATGCCCAGACAAGAGGCGATTCCTATTAATCTGGCACATGTGGGGGTCTACGTGACTTCTTTACACAAGCCATCGACGGTTGACCCAAGGATGTGCTGTCATGCGTGTTGTCCCGACCTTTCCGTTGTATCCCCGCTTCCATGTCTATCAACATTTAAGCCTTGCAAATCTAATCCACAGGCCCCTGCATCACACCAGTAGCTTTGGACCCATTGTATACAGTCCTTGTGTGCTGCAAGGCATTTCTGAAACTCAACCAACATGTTAATATCGGATGTTCACAGTTGCTTCTAGAAATAAAGAGAGCCTTGAAGAGGGATGATAACCGATGCACTCCTCTGAAGCGTCACTCCGATTCAGTACCTTTCTTTCTTTCTTTTTTCATAAATGAGAGTACGTCACCACTGCTGCTTTACAGTAAAGAGTAAACCAACGAATCAGGGTACTGAAATCATAGTTTAGTTTCTGGAGCATGAAAATCAGGTTGCGTGTTAAAATTAAACGAACAACATATTTCTGTTCATTACCATTAAAATGCATGCAAATGAAAGATGCACTAAAATTTGGCAAATAATTTCAGCATTTCATGTTCCAAGTATTGTGTGGAATCATGTGGCATCTATTACAACAATAATGCTTTCGTCCATATAGAACTATGAGCACAAATAAACAATACAACAAGAAAAAGGTAAAAACGCCCTTCAAGCCCTCTCTCACAACTAAATTTTTATTAGACAACAAGACCTTCATGTACACAAACAGCACATAGCACATGTTACTGAGAGTTAGAAGGCATACACCTAAGGCACATGTTCTGTATCAGCTAACGAAACTAAATTTTCTGTTACGCAGTGACAGAGATTGTTAGCTCATATATAGTGCAGCGTTATTTGTGACATAACATTCCTCCAAGATTTCACACGTCGTCTGGGATAAAGAAGGTTTTTTTTTGCTACCATTAGTTAACGGTGCTTTCACGAAAAAGCCTTCAATATCGGGAAAAATTTCAAGACAATGCTAGCAGAAAGCAGAGAAGTAAAAGCCAGAGCGAAATACTCACCGAAAACACTCAAGCTCAAGGCAAATGTTTAACAAACAAGAGCCCCCCCCCCCCCCCCCCCCGAGCTAGAAGTCATTTTCCCAATTAAAAACCACCCAAACCGGGAATGCCATCTGGAGCTATTGTGTTAGAATAAAACAAATGCAACTAGTCGTATCAGAGTATTGCCATAAATAAGCATCAGTTAAGGTTTGATGGGGTCGTGAAAAGAAAATGAAACTGCCCAATTGTAATGTTCATTGTTTCAATATGATTAGACCACGCTGATTCAGAAATATTTTGGTGCAATATTTAGCTCATAATTAATGACAGCAGTTTGAAATTGCAGTTATCTTGGGCCCCTAAACGACCATGCAGCACCACCGGCTGCCATGGACACTAACGTGTGACATTCGGGTGCTTTCACGCTAAGAGAAGTTATGAACACATCGTTAGCTTTTTTTTTTGCTGTAAAATAACAGAATTATACAAACTTGGAAAAGAAAATGACAACACAGCAATTTTCGCACTCTGAGTTGTATATTCTGCAAGTACAGCAACTGATCTGCTCAGTTCTGCTTTCAAGTACACCTGGGCTCTGTCACACGTGCATTCTTGCCTACCCGGTTGCCTTCGCTCACTCGGTGCAAAGTATGTTTTTTTTCTTACTGGTTGCGTTACATTGTGTTTTGCGGTGTGTCTTGGGTGGCTTAGTCCTTGCTATACCAACCATGTGCATCGTCAGACAGCGCTGCACAACTCATCAAAAATAGAAACAATGTCATTACGACACCAGAATCAAGATGGTATGATGCTACGAACCTCAATTAAGTATGCCTCAGCAAACATAACTGCATCACCACATTTAGTCGACGACAGAGACTTTTCATCACCTGACTTAAAGTGGCGCCCGCTATACAATTGAGGAGAACGTGGGCTGGGGAGTTGAAATCGTGCTTTCAGTTACAAAACAAGTCAAGGTATAGTATTAAATGGACGGACAGGATTCTCAATACACAAGTTGTTGGCAATTTTCTGAAAATGGTTCACTACCTCCAACCTCCGGTTCAGGACTGGACAGACCTAGACACAAACATACACACAGCAGAGTGTGCATGTTATGTGTCTTTTGCTCTGTCTCGTCCTAGATGCACTATACATCGGATGCTATGAATAACCACCAAGCTTGCCATGCAACCTTAGTTTCACGATCCCTCTAATATAACGTACCCTCTCGGCGTGATAAGCTATGACGTTGTTGAGTTTCATAGCAGCAATGAACTAGTTGGCTATACAGCCTTCAGCATCGATGTCGTTGACCTCTATTAATCCTTGTCATACAAAAAAGTGTAGCACTACCGTAAAATGCCGAGCAAGCGCACCCTCCCTTTTTCAGGAAATCTGAAATAAGCGCCAATAACCGGTACCAGACCAAGCAAGCCACCCCCCCCGCCCCCCCCAAATATAGTCAGGCTTACATTTCCCCGTATGGTACCGGACTAAGCAAGCGCCCTCCCTTTCCCTTTCAAATCTAGTCGGATTGCCCTTCTCCGTAAGGGGGTGGCACTTGGCCAACATTTTACGGTACTATAGAGAGTAACAGCGAGTGCTGCTATTCCAGAAGTGTGGTGTGTGCGTGAAATTTTGAGGGTTTACTTGAAATATGCACATGAGAACTGGCTCGGAAGCTTTTGCATGCAAAAAATAACCATGTGTATAGGTTATTTAGTAGCCCCCATTTTGAGCTACATTTCCTTCAGTGAAGTGGCTAAGACAGTCCACACCAAATTGCATATTAGCATAATAATATTCAGATGCTTAGACAACTATGTAGTTCTCATTGACAACTTTTGCATGGTACTGAGAAGTCAAGACATATTAAATGTCTTCAAAGGAGCACTGACAAAATATTTTGAAGTACGAGTGCTGTCTAACAACTGCAGTTCATTGAAACAAAAATTGAACGCAACGAAAACCAACACATGTGTGCACAGAGAATTCAGGTGGTGTCAAAGAAATAAACACAGTTCCAGCTTTTTCTGCGTACACATGTCTTGGTTTTCATTGCGTTAAACCTCAATAAACCTCACCTCGTTAGACAGGGCTCGTACTGTGTACTATTCTTCTAGTGCTCCGTCATGTTTACACAGATTTTTTACAACATGCATTATTTCCCACTCTCCCACCTCTCTACCTTACTAGGAAAAGTTTACGCGCATCGGCGAAAAGAAACAAGGCCCTCTCCTCCTCCTCTCACAAACAAAGAGACCAGGAATATGGCCGTTTTATGACATATATTCATAACACGTTCAATGGACCAAAATATGCAGGGAAGAGCGACGGCAGTTTCTTCAGCCCCTTAGTGGCTTAGGCATTCTGCTCCATAGTGCACAAAAAGGTGCAGGGTTCTTCCGTGGGAAGTGGGTAACGCAGTGAAAAACTTGCGAATGCTTCTGTAAAATGCTGCTCAGGTGCAGTGTATCATATTCCTTTTTTCGGTGGCCACGCACATATCAGCTGTCAAACCCATCAATGTCTTAGAACATCTCTTACAGATAATTTATTAATTAGATGGCTCGCCTTTGTTTCATCTGCTTCCCATTGCCAGACACGGAAATGCAAACCTCTGTTAGAGAGCATTGTTATTTTTTTGCTTCCTCATCCGCATTAGACCACGCAAGAAATCTAGGAGCACTAATATATCACAACGAACGCTGGAATAAGTGTAAGCCAACCATCTCTTTCACTGCAAGACTATAAATTGAGTTTTTTTATCCGATACTGAACACGTGCCTTGGATGAATCCCTTGTAACTCCTTGTGATATACACAATGCGCTGTGTGTATATATGAAAGTTTTGTTACCTAATAAAATTCATAGAGGACTTGTGGTGTGTGTTTCCCTTTTTCGTCCTGCATCGTTCATTTGTGCTCAAAGCTTACTGTGAAAAATCAATACCAGCTAGCCCACCTGGCTATCCTGTTACTTTAAACTACAAGGTGTGGACATACCTCCCACCACCACTCTTCCCCTCTAAAGTTGTTTTAGAAAGAAAATTCCAACAGCCAAACAGGTTCACAAGTCTATGTGTGTTTCACAGATTTTTTTTTTTTCATCTTCCACTACTGGTACCTTGTCCTCACAATCAACACACACCAACCAATAAAGATTTCATGCTATTTGTTTGCCCACTCCTTTGGAAATCATTTGAATGCACCTTCACAATGGTGTTTCCTATTCCAGGTAAAAATAAAATCCCCTTTTCTTGAATAACAAAGATGTGCTGTTTCATTTTAACAAGCTTTCAAACTGATTTTTGCTACCGAAGACAAAATAGAGAAACACTTGCATTGGCAACATTACTATTCTTTCAAAGCCGGAATGAGTTCCTTCCAAATACTGCCATCGCACCAAGTGCTCTAGAATGGCTTGCTAAAGGGTTAGGATTCATTGTAAGTGAAACGGTACTGGTGTCACAAAAGCACTTTCGGTCACGATTAGGCTCGTTCCCAACTGGTGCTGGTACATGGTCCTTTTTAATCGTGATCATGCCTGATAGCAGCAACGCTACCATTTGACTGATGTCTGCGTCAAATTCGATCCACATCAGTTTAGACTGTGCAGCAGCAGCCACTGTTTCTCACGACTGAAAAACCCAATCCAGATTGGTCCCGGTCATGATCATGAAGGCCCGGGTGACAGTGGCGTTGAGGCTTCTACGCTGTCCTTTTTTTACGAAAGAGAACATGTCAGCCCGTGGCCTGAGCTCTGCCGTGTCTGCCTGCAGCACCATCAACCGACTGCTGAAGACTGCATGTTGGTTCTCGGCATCGTCCATTGGCAATCAAAATAACGAGTCATCACCATTAGGCGAATGCTGCCAGACTACGCTCTCTTTTCAATCTCGCAGCGGGTGATGCCGCCAAAAGCAAACTCGCTTGCTTTGGCTGTTGGTTGACGACGCTGTAGGTAGCCACGGCAGAGCATAGGCCGCATGCTCGTGTAATCCCTTTCATAAAAAAGGACAGTGTACACACAAAGACTCAAGAAAAACACACAACAAAAAAGCTGTAACGAGAAAGGCGTCTGTGCATTCCTGTTCTCGTTCCTCGGCATTCCTTACTTCCATGATGGGCACTGACATGGTGCTAATAAGTTTAAGCACAAGTGCACAGAACAGAGGTCTCTTGCTGCTCAATTGGTAGTACAATTACACAAAACACATTCACATGGCCCTCTGCAATATCTGAGTAACCAGTGATAATAAACATGTGATCTAAGCTGATGAATATGCTTCTGAAAGTTGAATTAATTATTATCAGTATGCCAGAAATTATCACTGGCTTCTGTCAATTCAACGAATATGCACTAAATGTCCCAGCCTGCCCATTACCACTTGTGAGCACAGGTTTTTCTTTTGTTTTTCTTGTAAACAATAACCATTTTTGAGATGGTGAAATATGTAACTTGGGTGTCAACGAAAATTAACGTGACATAAATGAGGCACTACTTTGAAAAAACACGGAACACCTTGTTTCGTGTTCTTTCTGATGCGCTCCATGCTCGCTATATTTTAATGATTTACATACCTGTTAATATAACAGATTCAGGCGAAAGCCCCCTATTAGCCATGTTTTATAATAGCGTAAGCAAACCTTTGTGTTAGCATTTCTCGCCACCACACGCATGCGTCGACTGCTATCTTCTCGCGGGCCTCCGTTAAATAGCAGACGACCACAACGAACGCTATCTACGCTATTCGAAAACCATGAAGCTGTGGTGAGAAGAAACACCACTATGGGAAAAGCTCAGCTTAATTTCGCTTGACTAACGACCACACACATGCGACGGGCCTCGTGAACATCAGCCGAGAGCTCGCGCATAAACAGCTCGCTGCCCGTTGGTATTGCACGGCGTTCTAGACGAGCGGCCGACTCAGCGTACAGCTTACGTCGAACGTCACCCTGGGCTGCTGCATGATCTCGACGGGCGAAGACGGCTGCTGCGCTTCGACGGGCGTCGTGGCCTCCTCGCCGCCTCCGCTGTGGGCCATGATATCCAGCGCGGTTGCCTCACAAATCACTCCCCAACGATGAATTACGAGCACAGCAGCTGCGACCACGCGTCTATGCACGCAAACCACCACAGCATAGGCCGAGCGACCGCAACGAGGACCGGGAGCGAAGGAAGGAATCGGCGGTGAGTGCTTGCCGGCAAGGTCGTTGTACACAACGAACGCCGGCCGGTGCGGGCGTTGCAGGCGATCCAAGTTTTGGTCCCAAACTCACCCGAAACGCTGCGTCGCCGCGCCACTGAACGTGGTCGTGCGTCTTCTCAGCTAATATGGGCTTTCATATCATAGTCCCTGGAATATTCATACCGTCGCCGCCGCGTCCATCGAACACAAGTTGAAAAACGATGACTACGCGACGACGCCGCCATGAGCGCAGTGTTGCTTCGCTGCTCGGCGGTGGCCTCCAAGCCACGCTGGATTTGTCCGAGGAGGTGGTGGCCTCGCTAGTGTGGCTAGCCTCGGTGCTATGGCATCTTCCCTAGTTATTTAACGTAAAATTTGGAACGTTTAAAACACAAGCAGGTGTATACAATTGCACCTATTGCAGTTTGTGCCCAATTTTGTTGCTTACTGCAATTTAATCATGCATGCAACCACGAACAGCCAGTGGTCTGTCTGACTGCTGTTCATAGACAAGGTGTGGTCCGTTGAGCTTAGCCTGTTATCGCAAAATATATGTGCTTCCAGAAACAAAAACGGGAATGTGGTTTTTGTGCATCGCTAAGGTACGGTCGAATAAATGCACGTTTGCCCCTGCAATGTTTTATGCTTAGAGTTTCTTAATATACACTAGAGAGAACTCTGGCACTAGTGTCTACGGGAGCTGCAACGCAAGGCGCTTCAGCGAGCATAGGAATGATGGATAGTACACACATTTGTCTAATCTTCGTACTTCGGGCCTGCTTCTGGCTTCGTTTGTGTTAGCTGTTTTCTCACGAAACAAAAAAATCTGCAAATGTTCAGTGGTTGTGCTTCACCACTTTATTTTTTAAAGCTTACTTTTTCAAACCAGGTCACGAAGTTCGAAAGGTTTCGTTCTTTTCCTTAAAACAAAACCGTAACCAGCAGTAAACGAAGCCGCAAGTACGATTCGCCGCCCACAAGTACGAAGACTAGGCAAATGTGTGTAATATAAGGTCCGTTCGATTCACCTGCACCAATTGGAACCAGTTTACGGCTGTGCAAGCGAAGTTCAGAAATTGTGCTGCGTGAGTTCAGCGGCGCAGGCACAGCGCGACCCCCGAAACGAATGACGATGTGCCAACAGTGTGCAGGCCTTATTTCTCTTCGCTTAATTTACACCGTAACTAACACTGAACGATGGCGAACCACACATGTGGACAGTTTATGAGGCGCGAACATATTGGCAAAACACACCGCGTTTGTAGAGGCGGGTATGACGCCTAAGCCACCTACGCCAAAGTGCTGCGTCGTCTGCTCAGCTGCACATGCGGCTGCACCAAGCCGGCACCGTCAGCGTGGGAGGTGCAGGAAAATCTTGAACCAGTGCTGCACCTTTTCTGCACCTTTTGAAACGAATGATAGGGTTCAAAGGTCGTCAATGCTGCACCACTAAAACGAATGGCAAAGTGCAGCACCCCGTGAACTGGTTGACGTGGTGCAGGTGAATCGAACGGACCTATACCCAAGGAGGATACATAAAACTTGCTGGAGTGGAAGCCGCCTATGCGCCGCTACGGGAGAAAGTGAAGCCGCGCTGAGCGTGCGGCGGCCATGTTGCCAGTGGCAGAAAAGAGCCGAGCGCTGCAAATTTATGCTTCATCGCGCTGCGGGTGAAGTGACTCGTGTGTTTATATAAAGTAACGAAAACAAGTAATTCTGGTTGTAAATGTTTATTGCGACTTGTACGCAGTCAAGTGGCATGTAGAGAACTCAATTAAAGTGCATATGCATCAAATAGCGATGCCTAAAGCAAACACATAATCGAAAACATAGGGGCCCTACTAGTGGTTGAAAATTATTGCCCTTGTCAAAAGTGGTCCCACCTTACTTTTGACCGATTCTCGGTTTTTTTTCCTTCATCATGCGTTGTATCCTCAATTTACGTATTGTTCGGCAATTTGCCTGCACGAACTGTAAACCTGATTATCAAGCGTATCAAAGTCTTGGACGTGCTGCTCTAGTTTATGGAACCAGTTTTTCTCGGAGGAAGCTCATAGAAACTTTCAGGATGAGGTGTTTTGCTCTTGACTTCACCGTTGTGATGGAATCACATTCAGCTTGTAGCCGCCTCATTCCTCGACTTCTATACCGAGGCTAATGACATCTCGCGACGGTGAAACAAGACCACCTCGCCTCTTACATTTAATTAAAGGCGTCAGCTCATCTGAGTGCATGGCTGCTATGCACTCTCCACAGGTAGTTGCAGTTCGACCTTTCGAACAATGAAGCCTGCTATGTATGGCACCGCGGAACCAACAAAAACAGAAAAGCTTTCGGGCTAGTCAATGCGATGCGTATTGTCGTGGTCATCGGGCTGCAGGACTGGGGCCATGCGCATGTCAGTGAGATTGCTTCTTGGATCTACCATGGCTGTAGGAGTCGTTGCATTGAATACGGAGACAACATCTTCAGAGCAGTGTCCAGAACTTGAAGACGTGACTTCCGTCGGAACGAATAGACGCTTGTATGCATCCATAAACTGCGAAGCTGTTGGGTTGTTGTTATGGCTGCCTCATCCACGTATTGATTCAAAGAAGTTTTCGGCATAGTCTTGACTGAGTTTATGTGTCAGTAAGTATTTCAGCTGACCCTGGCTGACAATTCTGTCAAACATTCTTTCCGTGCTTGCCATGCGTATCCAAAAACCAATGAATCCGTTTATTTTTCAGTCCTTCTGTCACTGCCGGATCTCTCAGCCCGTTTATGTACGCTCGAGTCTCCGCAAAAAATGACTTCTAGAATGCTTCGTTCCCCTGCCGAAAGGGCGCTTTGTACGACCTTGCCAGCGGGTTCCTGGAGTTTAAGATGTCAAACAAGCGATCAAAAGTTCTAATAAACGTAGATCTTGTGCTGGCACCCTTGAATTGTGGCAGCTTTAGCTTTTGTTCGCAGAAGTCCAAAGCGTCCGCAACTGAGGCACTCGATCAGTTGTACAGCATATCATACCTTCATTTTCTTGCTTTTCCCGTTGAACGTGGACTTTCGTGTAAGTTTGTTTCCGAGCCAAAACCCTTCTTCACGTTGAAGTGCCTTCAATGCCACTTCATAACCCCACTGGAATTCAACTGCTGCTACACACTTCTTCGCGTTCATTGACGTTTGTGATATTTCATCACAACGCGTCAGAAACTACCGACCTTCCATACGGACGCAACCACAAACGCGAGACGTCTCGCGTGCAGAGTAATACCCCTGTCACATGGGTACTCGTGAAGACCGTTTAACTCCCTCGTCCTTACGACAACGAAGATGCGGTCCGTGTCACACGGCCACCCTTACCCAAACGAAGGTAAACGGAGCGTTTCGCAAAGGACGTTCAACGATCTCCCTTCGCAGCGAAACGAGGTACTTTCGTCCCCAGCAGTCTAGAGGTCAGAGAAAAATTTCGAGCACTAAGTGGCCGCAGTGAGAGAATAATACATTTTGGCAATCTTAAACGTTCTTTCGTTGCAGTACTCATTCACAACGCGTGTTTTTTTTACATATATTTACGCCCGCCAGAGTTCACTTACTCTCAACACCGATGCTCTACACTCCGTGCCTCGCACGTGGTGCCTCACGAGTCGGGCCGGCCGGCGCCATTGAAAAATATTTCGTCCATGCGTGTGGTTGTGGTCGTCGCTGTGTCACTCATGGCTGAAGAACACAAAATGTGCGCTCACGAGGCAAGGAAGCACAAGAACTTTCGTACACAAACATGAACACAGGCAACCAAACAACTAAAAGCACAATGTGGCCAGCGTCACTAGCAGGATCGCTACATTTAGCGAATTCGTTTTTCTTTGAAAATATTTTTATGGTTTGTTAGCCTCTTACCTCCTTAATAGTAGTTTTTTTTGTAAAAACCCTAGAACGAGGATTCACAAAAAAATCTATAGAGATGAAATTAGAATACTTTTCCGAAAATCAAACAGCGCCAGCTGAGCCCCCTCGCGCCAACTGTTACAACCTTTTCATTGCCGTGTGGCACTGCCACAACTCCTTCTCCGTCGAACCACCTAGGGGAGATTTACGTTGACGATGTTCAACGGAGTTTAGTGGTGGCCGTGTGACAGGGGTACAAGATACTGGGTGAGCGCGACTTTACCGGCGACTCAAGGGAAGGGGAGGAAATGTACCCGCGAATCTTTCCGCTAGGCGAGAAACGAGTGCTAGTGTTTAAGGCGAAACTGTAAGCCGACATGTTTCGTCACTAACGTTCTCGTTTCTCGCATTCAGGGTCACTGCCCGAATTTAGCTGAGCGCGTTGCTTCCTAGCAATGCGAAGTCACTCCCTTGAAATACGATGCCTACACGTATTGCAGGGTAGTTCGTGTCCTAGGTCGATCAGCACCCTTCCACGAAATTTGATGGCCGTGCCAAAATGCCGTACGGTATAGCACTTGATGGTTATTTTCTGATAGGCCACACTACTCCCAGTGCACACTTGACAACTGGCGAAAATGAGGATGCCGCTTGTCACAGCTATATATAGGCAGCTTCATCGAAGTAACGTGCCAGAGCATAGCGTTAAAGAGTGCTTGAGGTCTCCAGTATTGCTGTCTTTTCTGGACTATTTATTAGACCAGCCCAATAAGCACTTTAAAAAGCATCGGCACACCTTGAAGATGCTTTCTTCCCTTCTGCCACAGATTATTCCCGAATCTGCCACTCTTCCTACTGCCAAGAAGTATTCTGCCATGTACTCGAATATTATCTCAACTTCGGCGTCGCAAGGGGAGTTAGCTCTATCGGCTGCGAAATGGAAGCGAAAGAAGCGAGAAACGCTGAGCATGTCTGTGATGCAACAGTTGTCGATTGCCCAGATGTATTCTTTCCAAACATGCACCATCTACTAAAGATTCTGGCAACTGTGCCGGTGAGCACCGCTGAAGCAGAACTCTCTTTTTTATCGCTAAACGCCTAAAGTTGTACCACCTGACAGCTACAACCAATAGCAGATTGTTTGCCATCTTCCCGCTGCCAAACCCAAAGCTAAGTAGGCCTGAAGCTCTCACTTGTATGCTATTGCTAACGGTGCCATACCCAAATCCACACGTCCTCCATGACATACACCCGGAACTCTGCCATAAGGATGTATGCAACCAATGTAACTCACCCCTGATACGCTTAGACACATGCTCTGGGAGTGCACTACAATGCATAACGGTCACTGTGAACAAGGCTCCCCACCGAAACG